CCATACCTATCTAATTAATATTTATTTATTTTCTCTTATCACTTAATTATATGTAAAATATACTTATTTTCTTCTTTTATATTTTACAGGAAAATAATAAATTAAATTAAAAAAGAAAAATATATACGGACTGTTGACGTGTCACAATTACATCCGGCCTTTATTCCCAAGAGGAGAACACTAATGGGATAATGAACATGTTTGTATTGTTGCATTGTGAACTTGTTTCATTATCTATCAATGCTATATCGGATATTGCCATGTGTAAGATAGAAAGGGAGAACTAAATAAGGAATTAAAGGAGCAACTATGATATCTTTTGTTGGCCATATGTACATATTTAATTTATAACATAAGCCTTTAAATGGTGTTAATATTCCGTGGCAAAAATAAGATGTGACACATCTAGGAAAGGTGTTTCATCGGAAAAATTCCATAAAAATGATTCGATGAGCAACTGATTAATTTTTCTTTCTTGAATGAACACGTTTAAGTACCATAAATGGCGTTTCCATGTAAAATTATTGCAGATATTTAATGCTCACTATACTATTATTTATTTCTTATAAATAGATTGAAGGGATTATCATGAACATGTTGAGTAGAGGAGTTGTTTCAAGCAATGCATTATTGAAACCATTTGAACAATATGACGATAACACAATATGACTTATTGAGAGCATGCTTAAGTTTTCAATGCTTCTTCAATGAGAAGGCAAGAGAAGTTAAAGACATGTCATTAAATATATAATTTTCATATTTGTCAGATGAGAAATTTTTTTTTTACAGTATCTCTTTCAGCATTTCTTTCAATATGGCAACATTGGCCTATGTAGATTTGGGAGGACAATATTCCAGATCGATCACCTATAATAATATATCATAATTTTTACCGAATCTGTTTGACACAGTATTTAACTTTGATGAATTATATTGATAATCTTCATTTTAGTTACTATTAAAATGCACAAAGTCATTAAATCAATTGAGGCACTGACTTACAGTTCGTTGATTCAATTGTGGTCAAACCAGTTGCTATTAAAATGAAAAACTGTGAAATTTATAAAAGGATAAAAGTAAATAAATTAAAAAGAAAATAATGACTAATAACTTCCCATCTATTAAGTTTAGTATAAAATCTTGTAATATACCACAGTTACTCCAAATATGTGTAATAATTATGAGTCCATACTTATTATATATATAAAAAATGGCAATGCATCAAGTAATTTTACAAAATATATAAAAACTAAACTTAAAGGATTAAACCAAAGGAAAAATATAAATAAATACTTTGTATTGCCTAGATTTAATAGATATTATGAGTGTAGCCAAAAAATTAGTGAAGATCGAAGAGGAAAAAAGAAGTGAAGCTCAGCTGCCTTCAGACAGGGAGAATAATGAAAAAGTGGTTGGTGAATGTCCTACATCGATCGTTTGAGAGTATTAGGTGGAGAGCATCAGCTTGTACATATGTGTGTTGTTGGGTTTACTTCAATGGAGAAGCTGGGTTCACATGTGGGGTTGTGAAGATTTAAAGAAAATCACAGCTATTGGCCCCAAGTTTGAAAAATTTTATAGTTGTGACTTAAAAAAAAAAAAAGAGAACATGTATTTTTTATTTTTTATCTTTTTTTGTTCCCCTTAATGGGAACTGATCAGGTTTTTACTAAGTTTACTGGTTATTTACTGACTTTCTAGTCTTTGACCACTTTTGGAGGCCTTATTGGTGCCTGGGATTTGGAGTTTTATCGGTTTGGACTAAAAGCTAGCTTTCGGTTTGACTAGTTGACTTTGGCCTGGATTTATAGAGGAGTGACATAGTTTAATAAAAAATGTACAGTGATACTATTTGAAAATATATATTGCACGTGCACAAAATTAATTATATGCAAAGCCATATATTATATATTGTTCATTATTTAAACTGGATCCCTTCATTTCAAAAAAAAAAAAATCTGACATCCTGAAAAAAGGAAGCAAAGAGAGAGAGAGTGCTATTTTTTTTTTCAGTAGTTAAAATGCTAATTTGTTTTTCAATTTTTTTAGGTACTCATCGGGCACCCTCAAATCAAGGGTGGCTCGATGTTGCGCCTATACTTTAAAAGTGGAGCAACGTCATCCCTCCATTAAATATTTGTTAATTTAATCATTAATTGACTAAAAACATTATATAGAATGACCTAAAAAAATATAGAAAAAGACCTAAATAATTATAGAAAAGGACCTAGATAATTGCAGGAAACAAATGGTTTCCTGTTTCTAATTCGCATTTTGTGTTCTGTCTTTAGCTAGCAATATTTATTTATTTTCATTTTTTAAAAGAATAAAGATTCTCATTTTATTTTATCTAATGTGGCACTAATAATAAGACTGTCAACTAAGCAATGCAACACTGTTAACTACCATAGATGCCACATAGGATGAGTTACTAAGGACTTATTTACTTTTTTTAAAAATAGGAATGAACGGAAAGACAAAAGAAAGTATAAGGATTGAGTTGTAACAAGTTAAATTTTAAGGAATAAGTCACGAACTAGATGGAACTATAAGGGTGGTCAAATAATTGATTTTTTCATTAAAATTACTTTGAGGTCTGTGTAAAAACAATTAAGTTATGAGAAAAAGTAAATAATAAACAAGTAACTAACAATGACTTTTGTAATTCTTAAAAACAAATAAGAAGCTTGTAAAATGAAATAAATTTTCTTATATTATATAAAAAATAAAAATTCACTCTCTCACATGCATCTTTAGAATAATTTTTTTAATGTCATGATGTGAAACATTTATCATTTATATACCAACTCATGACATAACAAGGTATAACAAATCTAAAAGAAATATAACACATAAATAAAATCTGACTAATTTATGTATCTGAAACAAATAGATTTAATTATTGTAATTACATCATGCAATCAAGGAATAATGTTTAGCGTTATCAACAAAATTAATAATTAGTCATTGCCTTGAAGTTTGAAACCCTTGAAGCATAATCAAAATTTCAATCGCTTTTGGTATGCAACCACAAAGCTGATTAACACTAATATTATGGTCAAATTTACCAAATCACTAATTATATTGGGAATATCTACTGGGATGTGGTCATTGAAAAAAAAAAACAATGAAGATATGCTATAAGACCATAAAGTATGAGCATAATGAGACCAAGGTTGAAAATTCGACAAATAGTTGATCTTATATGGTAATAAACAATCTTTGATAAAAAACTATGATACTTTTATTAGTTTCAAATATGACGATTGCCTTTTGGAATAAATTAATCCTGCAATATCTGCAGACTCGTTTTTTCATTACAGTCCATGTATGGTAAAGAGATCATAACAAAAGAAAAATAAGCAACGAAGAGGACAAAGCTCTTGAACCCAATAGGAAAAAAAAGTAAATAAGAAATTGATGTATCTTGATATGTATCCATTAATTTGAACTCTGTTTAGTGCGACCAATCAAATCCTCATACGCGAAGGGTTTTATCCAAGTCTTTGCAGTATAATAGGGCCACATATATTCAGAAAGTAAGATATTTTTTATCATATATAGCATGATTAAAGGGGCTTTTGCAGATATCGCAAACCAAGCAAACATTCTAACATTTATTATATTTTGTGTTATGCCAATTTGTTATATTTGTCAATAATATATCATTGTATATTAATGATAAACTCTGGTAAATTTTCAAATTTTTAATGATAAATGTTTTGTATATCAATATGAACTGGCGATACTTCCAGTGAACCAATTTGTCCATAATTAAATAAGGCTATAATAAATTAATTGAGATGAATAAAATTAGTCAAAACCCTTACAGCACACAAATTGATAGAAATATGTTATTTCGTTATTTGAAGAGTTAGTTTTATGCATATATTTAAACAACTGTTGCCCTATATAATTATTTTTAAGAGCATACGAACCTTAAAAAATATTATGGCTGCATGTTGTACAAAAGAAATCAGACGATGGAATGATCAAATTAGTGCTCAAAAGTAGACATTTTATTAATAAAAAAGAGATAATCTATTATTTTTATAACATGAAAAATAATGAGATATTGACAGTCAAACTGACAGTTTGGGTTGTTTCAGATCTTTTTTTTTTTTTAAACATGAATACACGAATCCATAATCAAACCTATTTAGCACGCAATTATAAACTTTAATGTAGCTTATATCACAGGGAAAAAGTCATAGAAATCATTTGAAGATTTTCCTTCATTATGTTGATCTAAATTTTTAATAACTTTTTCACAATCAGAATCATTATTAGATAGTTATTTCTTATGATTTTCTTTATAAAATTGGATTTGGAAAAAAATAAAAGAATGCTTAAGACATGTCCTATAAGAAGCATATGCAAATGTTTGACAAGTTTTTAATGTTATAAAAAGTAGATTATATTATATGAGTAATAATTTATAACGTAACTACAAAAAGAATTCTGAAAAATATATAACTTAAAAACATAAAATTGTCTAGCTGGTTGAAAGGCAATTTCAAAGAATATTTGATCAATTTATCTTTCCGCAATAAGAATATTTTATTATCACCAATATATCATAAAAATTAACTGTAAAATAATTATCAAACGCACTAATTTGCTTAGGTGAAGTTAATTTGGTATATAGGAAGTATATACTTATGCAAAGCTGATTCCATGAAATGCAGAAAATGTGCTAACTTTGATAATTTGAATATCCTTAAAGCTAGGAGGGTCATGTAGAATGATAATTAACATAATTTTGTTGATGAATTTATTCTGACAAATATAAGTGAAAATTTTACGCCAGCAAAGATCAATTAAGCTTGATAACAAGGCACACATAAATCTACATTAAAATTAAGCAAAAGGAGTTCCAAATAGAAAATAAAATTATATCATTGTAAAATAGAAGAAATGCTAATAACACATTATGCAAGGCATACCTGTTAAGGAGTTGTAGGCCAAAGACAACATCTCAAGTGAGGATAAGTTAGAAATCATTGGAGGTATTCTTCTGAAAGCTTATTTTCCGTGATCCGTAAAATTTTCAAACTTGATAGTTTTCCAATCTCAAATGGAGTGAATCCTTCAATTAAGTTACCATTCCAGTTCAAAGTCTCTAACTTTGACAAGTTGGATATGCTTTTAGGAATAACACCTCCAAAACTATTATTACGGAGGTGGAAGTGTTGAAGAGTAAACAAGCTTCCAATCCAAATTGGAATTTCTCCATTGAATTCATTGTAGCTCAAGTTAAGAATTTGCAGCTTGTGTAATTGGATCAACTCTTTTGGCAATTCACCATAAAGGTTGTTACTATGAAGGTCAAGTTCAAGCAAGAAAGACAAATTCCCAATTTTTGAGGGTAAGATCCCCTTGAGACCCATCTCACCAAGATTCAAGGCTATTACTCTCTCATGGTGAGAATCACACATAACTCCAACCCAATTGCAAATGGACGAAGAGTTGGACCAGCTAGCCAAGTGATTGTAAGGGTCCTTAACAGAAAACTTGAAAGCAAGTAGTGCTAATTCATCATTCGTAGTAAAATTGGTGAGGCATAAAGTGAATTGAAAACAAAGCAGTGAAAACATGAGGAAGGGGGAATGAAAACAAAGATTTGCCATGTTGGGTAGGTTTCAAGGCTTCTTTGATTGATGAAGAGGTTGGAGAAGAAGTTTATACTATATATGTATGTATATGTGCGCGCACGCACTTAGAAATTCATAATCACAACTAGATATTTTGGTATTTTGTAAAAGTAATTAATAATATTTTTTTAAAAATTTTCCTAATGAATATTTGAATTAATGAGAATTTTATATTTATTATTTATCAAATTATCCTATTAAAAAAATAGACATAAAAAGAGTATATAATTTTTAATTATATTAAATTTTTTAATAAAGTTGGTTAAAATGTCTTATAAGATTGAAAGAAAGATATACACCTTTATAGCCTCATTTACAAGTCTGGGAGAATAATTTTTTTTAGTCATAATAACGCATGCAATTAATTTCTTAACATATGTTTTTTTCCAATTAAATATTAGTGAGAGAGTATGTTGTTAAAGTATGTACGCCAACAATAAATTATTTTTTTATTTTGCATTCAATTTCATAAGAAATTCTAGCATCTAAACAAACACAATATTTTTCCAGTTTTAAAACTAATCACATATTCTTGTTGGCTGGAAAACACATGTTTTTTTTTTTGTAAGACTGTTTTTCTATTTATTGTATAATTCTTTAATAATTAATATTAATACATCAAATTTTAACATTGTAGGAACTTGGATGTAATAGAATGCAATTCTTTTGAAGACATTTTTCGCAGTCTTGAATCTAATAGCCCATGTTTAAAAAACCATAACACTAATAAAATTTTATACTTAATTATTTTAACATAAAATTAGGAAGAATTACAATTAAAATTCTTGTAAAAAATCAATATAAAATAAAGGTATTCAAACTATGAATGTAGAAATTGATGTTATAAACTTCCATGAAGTTGCACACAAATTCTTCTTTTACACTTTAATTTTCTTTTGACACGGTCAAGAAAGGAAGTTTCATTTCACTTCGACCAAGAATTTCATGTCATGTACTGCGTTTGAAATGTCAAGTAGGCCTTATACGTATAAAGTGCGTTGTTGCATTTACAGGCCTCATTGTTTTCCTATTAGACTGGCTCCGCATAAATTCATTGTTGAAATTACCTAATTGCCCTGGGCTTTTTAAAAAAAATTTGGGAGAAATATAGTTTCATTAACAAAGATAAATCATTTTTTCCTTAATTTTGAAAATTATAGAGATGAAAAAAGTTATAAGAAGGCCCATTCATTAATCCTTTGTCTCTTAATTATAAGGTATCAAACAAAAAGATGAAATAATCTTCCATTTTACTCTTTAACTTAATAAAGCATTTGCATAAATAATAAGATGACTCATTATCTTCCTCTAATTAATATGGACATAATTGAAATGTTGAGTTATCTTTTTCAATAAATAAAAAATAACTAAAATAAATTCAACAATAACTTTCCCATTTAACTTTAGATGACATTTGCATAAATAATAAGATGACTCATTATATTTTTACATAGGGATAAACTATTTGCTTAGGAACATATGGTATCTTAAATTTATATGTGGTAGTTGATAAAAAAAAAAAATTATTTGTGGTAAATTTTTCTCTTCAACATTTGAAAATAATGCATTGGGCACCCTATTAATAAAAAAATTAACTCTAACCATTAGTTGACTTCAAGAATTATAGACAATATCTTAAAATTATAGAAAATGACTTAAAATTTACACATAAGTACCCTATAAAAACATAGTAACGATTAAGTTCAATAAATTATATATAAATACTGGATACAAATGTTATTTCTTACTCTTGTAAAAGACCAAATATGATTTGACTATCCACTTTAATTAACTGCTAGGTTAACAAATTACCATTTCTGGTTAAAACATTAGTAAGTAATTAAAATATTGATATTTCAATATATAATAATTTAAATATTATTATTATTTACAAATTATCAATATATTTACTCCTTAACTAGTATTTGATCCTATGACCCGGGGAGTTTGATCTCATAACCCCTTCATCACATAAAAAGCTGAATTAATTTGACAAGTGAATGAGACATTCACAATTAGTTATTAATCTATAAAACACATATATCTACTCGAGTTCGGTTCATTTTATTATCTTACGTTAGTCTGAAAATATTTAAAAAAAATATCATCATTCAATATTTAATATAAAAAATTAGTCTGTAAATATTTTAAAAAAGCATAAAAATTTTAGCATAGTCACTTGACATATATATATATTTAAATAATCTAACATCATTTATTCCTTGTAAAAAATAGGAAATCTAGTTGCAAATGTTACTATGCAAAGTTGCATATGCTTGAGTAATTGAATGTTAGGAAATTTTGGGAGTTTTAAGTCATTTTATTTTAGGATGTTCACGATCCACCTAATAATTTTTGGAACTTTAATTTGTTGATGTTAATTTATTGGAACGTTATCGTTAGTTAATGACTCTCTTAGGACTTAACCACGTGCATGTGAAGAAAAAATCAAGAAGAGATGCCCCACACTCCAACACTCTTAATCAGTCGCAGAGACAGATCCCAGGTCATGAAAATTAATAATAAAAAATAATATGATAATTAAAAAAATTACATCAGGGAAAATATAAGTCATCTTGTGAAGTTAATTACTACAAACTTCTGTTTTAAATATAAGGTTTTTTTTTATTACATAAAGGTATTATCTTGTTCAAGTTACAGTTAAGCACTAAATGTAGGTACCTGTTCTAGTATAGAAATTCAAATCTTAGTTTGTTACACTATGAGGAATTAGTATCTTATGCAAAACTCAATCCTAGTTAATAAAATATATTTAACATATACATAATTAAGAAATTATTAATCTTTCTTTTTCAACTTTCCCTTATCTTGTTTAACGCAAAGTAACAAATATACTTAGCTTTAATCAAACAAAATACGGGTTGTCAATAACGGTGAAACTCAAACAACAACTAATTTTTTTAAAAGACTAATGATAAAACTAACTTTTTAAAAAGTTTGAATTAGTTAGAAGTAACTTACTCCTTCCGTCTCTATATATAGAATATTTTCTAAATGCTTATTTTGTCTCTAAATATAAAGGATGTCATGATATTTTTGAGACAAGAGTTAATGAGCAAAATAAACCCTGAAGTATTGCCTGAAAAGTGCTTTCTAAACTCTTAAAATGTGTCAAATAAACCTTGAACTTTTAAATTCGTAGCAAAATGAACCCTGACCGTTATATATTTTATTTTAACACTGTTGATGAAATTATCGGCTTTCGCATCTATTGTCTATAAAATCCTATGATACTTAAACTTCTTTTTAAATGGGATCCCAAATTTTCACCATTAAATAAATAAACATTATTTAAAATAAGACTAAATTAGAGTTATAGAGTATACGGAAACATGAGATACCAATCGTTTTAAAAACATTACAAAAAAAGGGGCAAAAAACCATGCTAAGGCTAATTTGGTCTACGTAATAGTCAATATTTTATACATAAATGATGGGGATAATTTGCTTAAAATTTTAAAGTTCAGGGTCTAAAACACTGCTAACATGATAGTTTAGGGTTCGTAACACTACTAATATAATAGTTCAGGGTCTATGATGCTAATTCACAATGACACGTGAGCATTAAATAGGGACCATGGTGAACATTACCCGCACAAACAGTAACAGCGTTAAAATATTTAATGGTCAGGTTTCATTTTGCTATGAATTTAAAAGTTCAAAGTTTATTTTGTACATTTTAAGAGTTTAGGGTTGAAAGTGCTTTTCAAGCAATACTTTAAGGTTTATTTTGCTCATTAACCTATTAGACAATTCTACTTTTGTCTTGAAAAAAGGAGAAGAGAAATTAATTGTGTACTTTACACACTACCACCATGATATTAATTGACAGTATAGAAGTTTGTCGTACAATTTTCAATTTAAAATTTTTTTAAAATATTTTTTAAAATTATTTCTTCCTTCTTTCTAAAACTCTTGATAACACACATTAGATTTTGGTCAAATAAATTTTTAGGGAATAAATTAAATTTTTATGGGGTCACATGAATTTTCATTTCTTTTCTTAGCGGGTGGGGGCAATCAAAATTTTTTAATGGAGGCAAATGAAATATTTATGGTCACTGCATGTAATTTTCTCCTTGACTTGTGGAAAAAATTGCCTCACTGCCTTACACACATGGGTCCATCCTTGGTTGACTACGAGGATACATGTATACATGATAAAGAAAATTATCTTTGGTGCAGAAATAAATCCAAATACAATTTTAAATTCAATTATAGTTGATTGTAGGAGGTGAAATAAATTTACCAATATTATGAATGGGAAGTTTTAATTCGAAATAAATGAGCCCATACTTTCTCAGGCAATGAAATAGCATATTGTCTAGGCATTGATTTCTTCTTGTTATCAAATTTCCTTCTTCCATGGGTCAGAAAGTGACTTTAATACATTGATTCTCAAACCAAAATTATTCTTACAAGAAAATATTTCCACGAGCTACTAAATAACCAAAATCAAAGTAAAATTTACACAATTATGCTATGATGTACTAACTCAATCAAAATAAACATTTTCCTACCGTAAGTATCCAAAATATGTATATGCGTGTGTCAAAAAGTAACACTTATTTTGCTCTGTTTATAAAATCATATTTTAAATATTTAAACTTGGAAAAACAAATTTAGCTAATATTCAATTTCCAATATCATTCTACATAGAAAGAAATTTTTGTTTATTTTATTTGTAAGACATGGATTTTTTATAAGAAGCCTATTTAAATATTGTTGTGTGTTAATATATTAATTAAACATGTATATTTGATAAAGTAAAATTAAAAATTTCTTAGATGTTCCTCTGATAATAAAAGAAATTAAAAATTATTAATTTTTTGAAAATTTTGAAATTATCTTTTAAACACCCGTACTAAGTAGAATCTACTGTATATATTGTTTGCCAAAAACAAAATCCCCAATATTGTGTCGTTTTTCTTTTTCTCAAGATACTCCTTACTTTA